TTATATTCATGGCTGTTAAACGAGCACGTTCCATCATTTCACCAATAGCCATTGAATGTGTTGGTTGACGTTGTTGTTGATCATATAATAAATTATTATTAAGAATTTGATTTGAATTTATTTCATTAGATTGATTATGACCATTGATATTCATATTTGTAACCTAATCAAAACAAAAACAATAATATTTATTTCTAATGAATAATTAATTCTATTACTCGTGTTGTTTGTTGTTGAGTAGTATTTATTGTATTACGTGGTATTTGTTGATTAATTAACATTTGTTCAAATTGTTTTAATAGTTGATAATTTATTTGTTGTTGTGATGATGATGGTAATATTATTGGTGATATACGTGATGTTTGTTGTTGAGAAAATATATTATTTGCTTGTGATATAGCTATATTAAATAATGGATTCATTGTTGATTGTCGAAGATTAATTGATGTTGATAAAGACATTGGATCTTCACCAAGTAAAGCATCAATTGATGGTTGTTGAGATTGATCATTATTATTATCAATAAGTAAAATTTCATCTTCTTTATCAGATATATTTGAATCGAAAAAATCTGGTAATGTTTCTGTTGTATAATCACCAAGAAATTCTCCATTTTCACCAAAATCTGATTTCATTTTAATTGTATCTAAATTACAATCACCAAATGTTTCATCATTTAATATATCTACTTCAGTATCATCTGTTGTTGATAATACAGATAACATTGTATTTAAATTATTATTTATATTTTTATTTGATATATTTAATATTGAAGCACCAATAAATAATGTTTGATTATTATCATCCATGATATTAGGATGAATAAAATAATTTAATAAACAAACATACGTATATACACACACACATATACTAGAAAAATAATAATAATAAAAACAAAAGGAAAGTCTTAAATAAGATATAATGATAGAAATAACAAATAACAAGTAGCCATGAATGAATGAATGAATAAATGGGAAAGATCTATTCTGTTGAGTATTTTTTTAATGATTGGTTGAAATAATCATAAGAGATAATATTGTTTTTTTTTGTTTTGATTGAAACAATAAATAAATATTTTATCATTTTAATAATAAACAACGACATTTTTATGTAATTTTATTAGAGACTAAGAAAAAAAGATATTGTCAGTGACATCTATAATACAATGTTATCGATATTCAGATTTCATAGAAGCGTGTTGAAGAGTCAATTAAAGCTTTTTTTGTTATCTTCTAATAATTGCTAAATGCGCATAAAGTCATCTGACATCGCAGAGCTTTCTGAATTGAGTAGATCCATGTTCCAAATAATTTCAATAAAAATAATTGGAAATGCTTGCCGAATGCTTCAGCCTGCAAGCCATCGGTTAAGCTTTATTAAAAAAAAAGATTCTTTTCGAAAGCAAACTCAAAAATTTGGAGAAATCGGTTAGAGATTCGGATTCGTCGCTCGCGAAAACTTTTGAGCAAATTTTATAGAGAGAAGAAGCTCAAACGAGGCGAAGTTAATTAGTATGTCGCATATACTTAATATTAATGCAGTTTAGGTGCTGTCGAAAAACAAGTTTTCGGTAGCAGATCTAATTTACGTTCAAGAATTATTAATAATATTTTATTTCTTCATTCGATAGAGAATAACAAAGTAAAAGATTGATTGATCTTGAGTTATATCGATTTTTGCACTCTTGTGTCTTGGAAAGATGCCATTTTTCTTAAAAAACACATTTCTTTTGAAATGTACAAAGCCTTCTGCTTCTCATTTCTTGTCACGTTCTGAAAGTTTTCTTTTCAGATTCAACGTTAAAAATTGAGTATAAGCAAAATGTTTAGTCGATTTTAAACCCGAAAAACGTTTTATGGTAGCGCCTCAAATTGTACCCATTGTGTTCTCTTGCTGAGAAATCATATTGACCTGAGTATCGCAGCCTTTTTTTTAGTCGGTATTCAGTGATTTTTGAATTCCAATTAGACTTAATAGACAAACAACTACAGATTCGGAATCAGTACAAGCAAGTGAATCGAATGAACTATCCTTCGAGTCAATTTGACAACATTCATCTTTGATCTTGATATAGAAATGGCATTAGTATTCTGGTTGAAACCTGAATAATGATTAAAAAACTGAAGTTTTCAAATTGACTCGAAAAATACTTTGTTTGACTCAGTTTTTTATGCTGAATTAGAATCTGTATTTGTTTTTCCTGGTAAAAGATCAACTTAAATTCGAAAATTGCTGAATATCAACTAAAAAGACTTGGGTCCTCAAGTAAATCCGATTTCTCAGCAAGAGACCAAAAAACGATGTATACTTTTGTGACTAGTGTAATAATGAATCAAACGAGGTACAATGTTTGGCTTCCTCGATCAATCAAAAATATTAAATGGATTTATAAAAACGACTATATGCATTGTGATGGACACAATTCGAGGCGCCAGCATCAAAAGACTTTTAGATTTAACATTTTCTCTGCACTCAATTTTCTAGGGCTGAATCTGAAAAAAAAACTACGCTTTCCAAGTTTTTTATTTTTTTTCTAACTTGAAAAAAGCATCCATTAAGGCTAAGAACTAGGTCTTTTGTAACCAGTAACTCACGCTCTATCAAATTGTGTGTAAAATAAGACGAAAAAGCATTTTATTTGTAGTTCGAATTGTCTGCATCTAACAAAAATATTATGCAGACATGTCAAGGTAATGAAGGAAAAAAGTAAGGTTGCAGCGAGATGGAGAAGGCTTTTTACGAAATGATATGTGGAACAAAATATTCTTCCCATTTCAGTCTCTGGTGAAGACTTACTGGTGTAGATTTGATGGATATATATATATAACGGACTCAATTTGCCATTTAATTTAATACTTAGAATAATAATAATATATAGCAATAATGCAAAGAAATATTAAAGAAAAAAGAAACTCTGTTTCTATTGATCAATTATAAGAACGATTTATTGTTCTCAAAAACTTTTTAACAAAGTCGATAAAAGTTAAATTTTAGTGAACAATGTACTCCTTTTTAAGTTCATTAAAATCAACTAAATATGAACAAGAAACAATGAAGGAAACATGTATGAGTCTCTTTTCTTTACATCACCCTCGTCGACGATTCTCTAATAAATCGATCGAATTTTTTTTAGAAATCAAATTCACAACTTTTTTCTTTGTTTCAAACTCGCTCAATATCATATCTAGTTGATTATATTTCGCTTATCGCTAACACACTAGTATATTGAGCAAAACATGCGTACACAATTTTCGCTCAAAATGACATAATTAACTGATTTGGTTTATAAAAATAAATAAATTTCTGTACATGTTCGATTAAATTCTTCTCCCATTTAATAGATATTACTAACAAAAAATGTTTAAAGCTTTTCGAATTAGTTAGATCATATTAGTCTGAATCATGACTAATCACATATTATTAGGTCATGAATGTCTTAGCGGAAGAAAACCTCTTATACAAAAAAAAATATTAACCACTATAAAACATAGAGAAACAAAAATAAACATGCCTGAATTAATGAAAAAAACAAAAATACTTTCACCAATAAGATTTCATCGTTTGAAATATGACAACAAATTTCGATACAGAAAATTCATAGAAGCCATAGAACAATCCAACTGTTTTCGTATTTAACAATGAATGAATCTTCTTGACGTAAATGACTATGACTGATAAGCCATTGACGAAAATTTTTACTGACTTCATCTGTTAACGAACCATTAATATAAAGGCCACGAAGGTTTTTCTCTTTCCACAATGAAATCATTTGTAGAATCAGTGAATCGACGAAAATTTTTGGATTTTTCAAGAATAAACTAAAATCACGAAGATGATTAAACTTTTGTGCAACGACGTCTAATTGAATAGAATCAAGTTCTTGAATATCCGTAATTTCAAGATCTACAATGCGTTTTTGCAATAATTCACATGTTGATACATCATTGAGTGCAATATTTAAACAATTCAAATTGATTCTTAAATACTCGAGATTAGGGGCAGCTTGAACTAGACGAAATATTTCACATACTCCTTTCACATTGAGATGCGTCAGATAAGGTAAATGCAAGATAATTGGCTGAGTTAATTGAAAAGTAACTATAAATGAAAAAAACTAATAATAATTATTCGAACCGTTTGTATTTTACACAATATTGACGGAAAGTGTCTGTATTTTGAAAATTTCTGAAATATTCTATGCAATCTAGTCTAACTAAAACCTATGAACATCTCGATTAAAACTCAAGAAGGATACAAATGCTTTGAAAGTTATTATAATCCAATAATATTAGGACAAATAAGAGTTCAAAAGCTTTCAATTATCTGAACATTTTCCTTGAAAATTATTTTGTTCATACATGAAAAAAAATGAACATATCTTTGTTGAAGTCGACGATGAGAGTTCAAAGTGGAATTTGATAATGGTTTTCTTTGGAGAGAATACTTTGTAAAGTATATAAGAGCTATTTCATTGAAGCCATGCCACTTTGCCACCGAGGCTGCTCAATTGACCTTTTAGAAATTTTGATTCCACTTACATATTTCAAAAGTGCACCAATTAGTGAGTTTTTTGCTACCAACCACATCTCAATAGCTCAAATCATCACTAAGATTCTTTTCCTTCAACTGATGATATTGTAGTATCCACTGAGAAGCATGCCATTTTTGATTGACATGATATAGAATGATGAAAATTTCAGGATAGATACATACTGAGTTGCCCTACAAAACAAAACAACCTCACCTCTAGATGACACTCTATGGTCGGGTTACAGGTATTGCTAGTAGTGAAAGTTCATCAATCAATATCTTTTGCGTATCGGGCTTCTTAAGGTTGAAACTTTTCGAGTAGATACTAGGACTGTAGAGCTATATAATGATGAAAGAAAACTTTGGGAAGTTAAATATAACCCAAGATATCGAAGTTTTACGAAAATTTATTGCATTTTTAGCTGTTGTTTTACACATTTTGATCGTATTTTTGTTTACCTCAACAACTCAAAAAGAATGTCATATTCGGAATCATCATGAAAAGTTAAGTCAAATCACATATGATTTGTAAAAAACAAAATTTCCATCAAAAACTCACCTGAGGGAGACCACAGACAGCAATGTTTTTTAAAGCAATTGAGGACGAGTAGGGATAACTTTTTGATTAATCTTCTTTAACGAAACATATACGATTAGACTCAACTTTTGATGTTGAATCCGAATATGACATTCATTTTGAGTTTTGGGGTAAAAAAATACAACCAAAATGTGTAAAAAACATCTAAAAATGCAGTAAATTTTTGTAAAACTTCGATATCTCGGGTTGTATTCAACTTCCCAAACTTTTCTTTTCATCATTTATATAGCTCAACAATCCTAGTATCTACTCTACAAGTTTCAATCTTAAGAAGTTCGATACGCAAAAGATATTAATTGATGAACTTCCACTGCTTGCAACACCTGTAACCCGACCATAGAATGTCATTTAGAGCTGAGGTTGTTTTATTTGGTAGGGCAACTCAGTATGTATCTATCCTGAAATTTTCATCATTCTATATCATCATGTCAATCAAAAATGATGTGCTTTTCAGTGGATACTAGTGAGATCAACATCATCATTTGAAGGAAAAGGATCTTAGTGATAATTTGAGCTATTGAGGTGCAGTTGGTGACAAAAAACTCACTAATTGATGGACTCTTAAAATATGTAAGTGGAATCAAAATTTAAAAAAAAAATCAATTGAGCAGCCTCTGTAGTAAAAGGGCATGGCTTATAAATGCATGAAAAGTGTGCAACTTCCTTTCAAATAATATGTTC